TATGGAGAAATAAATAAATCTTTAAAATAAAAAAAGTGCCATCTTTTCTTTAACTTTTGGTTGTGTATATGTTATTATAGGGAAGGAAATTTTTTTTCCTTCTATCCTTCTAGGTTCCTTCTTGGCTCAGATTTTGTAACAAGACATATTAAGAAGAGAAAAACAGACAGAAGTTCATTAAAATAGGTGTCATCTCCTATATACACACACAGGATATGCGAGAAATTTTGGGATCAGTAACTCAAAAAGATAGCTAACAGTTGGTTTATAGAGCATCTTTAACAAAGATTGGCAAATTATAGGGAAATGACAAGACAAAGGAAAACAGTTTTAAGTGTCCAGGGACAGGAAATTATGGGAGATGAATACATGGCGGAGGCCAAAGGAGTCAGATTTGTTTGCTGGTTTCTCTAGTGCCCTCTCTGGCCAGATAAGCATCTAGAGTCCTCACCAGTAAGGGAAAATATAAATCCTTCCTACATTTAGGCAGAAAGAAGACAGAAATTTTCCTGTATTTGCTGCTGCTTTTCTTTGAAGATTTATTTATGCATACCTACATTGTGCAAAAATGAAAAATGATGTAGAGAATATATAAAATAAAATTTAAAAAAAGATTTATTTATGCATATAAGAACTGGGGTACAGGCCAGAGGTGTAGGGGGTGAGACAGAGACATTCTCATTCACCAGAGACAGAGTGGGGAACAGAACAGGCAGACTGATTGAAATACACTGCTGAGGGGAACAGCAGGAAAGACAGGAGAGGTCTGTTACCGAACGCCGGCCTCAGTTTCCCTCAGCCAATAAAAGGAAACTAAGTTTGAGGAAAAGGAAAGAGGTTTTATTTGTCGACAAATGAGGAGGGCGGCAGACTCATGTCCGAAAAACCACCGTCCTGCTCTTTGGCAGTGGGCAGGGGAATTTATACAGGGGGAGATGGGTAGGGGTCCGCGAAGGGGAGGGGGAAGGGGTCCGCACAGAGACAAGTGGGCGCCAGCTCAACAGGGAGATGGATGGGTGTCAGCTCATTCATCTTAAGGGAAGGGGAAGGTGTCAAGGCACAGAGACACAGAGACGGGTGATCGGGTGATCGCCAACTTGTTTTCCTTAGGGCGAGGGGGAAGGGTCTACAGGGAAACCGGTGGGCGCCAGCTTTTTTTTTCTTCCCAAGGGGAGGGGAAGCTGCAACAAATGGGAAAGACAAGTCATCAATCCTGTTAATGCTAGATAAGGGGAATTGCAAAAAATGGGGGAAAGACAAACTTGTTAACTGTATCAGGTCTGCTGTGCCATGTGAGTAGCTTCCTGGCCAGCCAGGGATCAAAGTCATGCTGCAAAGGCTGCGGATAGCGTCATAGGGCTGTGCTTAACCCCTTGTGCCACCAGGGAGGCCCTATTTGGTGCTTCGTAATTTCCTTCGACTCACAATCATTCTTATGTCAAAGAGGCATATTTTGGGGTGACATGGTCTACTTTCCTTCATTGCTTTTTTCTGAACTTCTTGAAATTTGCAAGCATTGTGACTCCAGCTCTTAACTATTTCCACATGCATGTCCCAGGGATCAGACCATCTCCCATATAATCACATTTTTATACTTAAATAATTTAGAAATAATTTCCTAAAATCTTTCATCTCTACTCTGTAGTCAAATTTCCCCAATTACTCCCGAATTTTTTAAATCATGTCCCATCAAGATTCACACTTCACATTTGGTAGTTGCTTGTATTCTCTTAATCCAGAAGTCTTTGTACTTTGTACTTTGTACTTCTTGTTTTTTTTTTGTTGATAAGGGCTTTGAGAAGCTACCAGTCAGACATCTTAAAGTGTCCTGTATTCTGTATTCTAAATTTGCCACATTGTTCCTCATGAGATCATTCAATGTGTTCCCCAATCTATGGGGTTACAATTTAGTAGGGTTAAAAACAAGCACCAAGTCCTGGCCCAGCAGGCAGTTTTGGAAGGCTTGAAAAGATAAGAAACTAGATAAGGCTGCCTGGGGACAAGGCCATACAACCCATCACAATGACCTGAAAAACCAGCCTAAATCCAGGAATGCAGAAGCAGAGGCCTTTCTGTGTCAAAGGCCAGAGCCTAAGACCAGATATCCCAGCAGATAACTGGTGCAAACTGGCCCGCAATTTAGAAAGCCTGTGAAAACAGAGTATAAAAGGGAGCCTCAAATCCTTAGTGCAGACTTTTCCCTTCTCCTGCCTCATTCGCTGATTCTCTTAGTGTATTTCAATAAATCCACCCTTTCTGTTCTCCACTCTGTCTCTGGTGAACTCTTTCACCTCCCAAGCCTCCAGCCTCACTGGACACTTCTTCCCACAAAACCACCTATATATTTCTAAGAAACAGGAAGCTAAGTCTAGAGCTGGATTGGTTTTAGGTTACACATTTTTGACACTGTCTCTTGGATGATGCTGTATATACCCTTCATGTCAGGAGACGTCATCCCGTACAATGTCAGGTTTCCTCACTACTAGTGACGCAAAGTTTGATCACTTGGCTACAGTAGTGACTGCCACATTTTTCCAGGTAAAGGTATGCTTTCCTTTTGCAAATTTTTTTTAAGATTTATTTATTTATGCATACAAGAGCTAGGGTGTAGGCCAGAGGTGCAGACAGAGTGGGGAGCGCAACAGGCAGATCTACTGAAGTACACGGCTGAGGGGAGCAGCAGGAGAGGTCTGCTGCGCCATGTGAGTCAGCTCCCTCGCTGGAAATGGAACTTCTGCTGCAGTGGCTGCGGATAGCTTCATAGTGCTGCGTCTTAGCCCCCTGCCCCACCAGGGAGGTCCCCAGAACCCTCACTTTTTAAAGATGCACTGATGGTTCTCAGTGTGGGGGACAAGCCAGCAACACAAGATACGGGGTAACACCAGGGACTGCAAACCACAACTCCGCAACCTGGCTAAGTCCCCGCAAGCCCAACGCCGGGGGGCGTGGCCAGACGAGTGGGCGGTGCCACGAGCCGGAAGTCCGGCGGGAGACTACATATCCCAAAAGGCTCCGCAGGCGCCTCCGACTGGCGGTCCAAGACCGGCGGCAGCGTGATGACGTTTTTTAGGGACGCTGGCGCGCGGGATTTAAACTGCGGCGGTTTGCTCAGCGTTGAGGCTTCATAGAGTTCAGAGAGTTGCAGCTTCTTGGCGTTTCGCGTTTTTCTCCCCCGCGCACCTGCCAGCTGCCCATGGACTCGTCGCTCCATGCCCGCCTGTTTCCTGGTCTCTCCATCAAGATCCAGCGCAGTAATGGTGAGGGGCGGGGTCCCGAGGCCAAGGGGGGACCCGTGGGCTCTGAGATGACTGAAATTACTGCGGTTCCCCCAAATGGCAAGGCCTGAGACACTCTTGGGGGCTCTCCAGTCCGGGTCTCTGCTCTGGCAGGGGGTCTTACCTACCGAGGGCCGCGGCCTCCGCCCTGGAGGTGGGGCCCCTCTCGGCCCTCGGGAGTGGGCGGGGCTCCCCCCCTTCAAAATTCTTTGCTGAAACTGCCTTGTCCTTGTAGGGATTTCGGCTTCCTGGCCGCTCTGCTCTTCTATAAATACTTGACGTGTGTCAGGCATTGGGATTGAGAGTAACCAGACAGACAAGATCACCGCTCTCAAGGAGCTTGCGATTCTGTTCTGTCTGTGCCTTTGTCTCTCTATTAAGCAGTTTCTGAAGCTCTGGTTATTAGGAGAGTGATCTGACATGACCTTCAGAAGTGAGGTAGGAAAAACCCTGCATCACTAGAGCCTCCGTGCTGCGTTGAGGAACAGTTCAGCTAAGGACTAGAGTGATTCCCCAAACATACCTTTAGGCCACTGTCGCTTCTCTTTTGAGTAGGGACGAATCCTTATTCCCTGCAGCCGTGTTCAAACCTGTCTCCTGCCCACCTCATTGTGAGATGTTCTAAAGGTGAAGTGCCAGGAGGTTTGTCTTCTATAAGAGAAAAAAAAGATAGCTGTCTTGTCCTTTCCTCAATTCCACATTGAGTCTTTGTGACATCCTAAAAATGAAAAAGGTGGGTAACTGGCATTTTTCTCCTATAGGCTTAATTCACAGTGCCAATGTAAGGACTGTGAGCTTGGAGGACTCTTGTGTTTCAGTGGAATGGACAGAAGGAGGTGCCACAAAGGGCAAAGAGGTAGGTTTTATGAAAATGCATGTGCTACATTTAACACTGCCCTAAAAGATCTGTGGAACTGGAACTTGTGAGAGCCTTGTTTCTGATTCTGTCTTGTTACCGCTGGTTTTTTTTTTCCTTAATTTTTTTTAAAGATTTATTTATGCATACAAGAACTGGGGTATAGGCCAGAGGTGCAGAGGGTTAAAAGATTCACCAGAGACAGAGTGGGGAGCAGAACAGGCAGATTTACTGAAATATACTGCTGAGGGGAGCAGTTGAGGAGAGTAGAGGTCTGCTGCGACATATGTGGGTTAGTTCCCTGGCCAGCCAGGGATCAAACTCAGGCTGTTGTGGTGATAGCACTGAGACTTAACCCCTAGGCCACCAAAATTTATATTTTATTTTATTATTTTTTTTTTCACATGCTTCAAGGAAACATTCTATGACTTTATTGTTGCTTTGATAATCAGCACAGACATTTCACTTTGTACACAAGTCTTTTACATACCAAAAAAAGCTCATGATTCTTTTCTAAACATTTATTCCGGAGACTTTCCATCTAAAACTTTGGAGGCAAATTTTCCTTAAGTGGACATCAAGTTCCAATCTCTTCAAATGCTGATAAGCTGATACACTGTAAGACTCACTAATTCACAATTTAGCATCATACACACTACATACTCAAATTTCCCAATCTTTCACAGCACATAGTTACTAGGGAAACTGGACGACCAGGACCAAAGATGTTACAGAGTGCACGAAATTCTGACAGGAGAGCCCAGATAAAGGAGTGGTTTTCTTTAGGAAACAATCCTACCAAAAAATGACACAGGAAAAGAATTTTAAAATGTTCACAACTTAGATGCACGACTGTGACTGCAAACTGCCATTTAGTAGCTTTATACAACAGGATATAAAAACTTCCCCATCTATGGAATGCTAAGCAGACGCCCAAGACAATCAAAGCCTCCCATATTCAATATCCCACTATTTTCTGGTTGTACCAAAAAATAAACAACCAGCAAATGATTTCACCTCTTAAAAAAAAGCATTTACACTTAAAAAATGGGATGAGGTGGGTTTCCCTCCTTCTTAGAAATGTTTCTAGAGCTACTAAAAAACTTGCATTTACAAAATAGTTGATAAAAATATTCCTCTGGATTGTACAAGAAGGGAGACAGGGAGCACTTGTAAGACATGGTACATGACATTAATCAGACTTGGCTTCTTTCTCTCCTGCGGCATCAGAAGCTGGACTCTCCTGGTTCTTAGTCTCTCCGTTCTCTGCGGGCAAGTCTTCTTTAGTTTCTTGGTTAGCCACCTCCGCCTGCTTCCCCTTTGCGCCCCTCTTCCCTTTTGCTTGCTCTTTTTTGTCTGATGATTTATCCTTTCCCGCCGCCTTCTTGGGCTTCGCCTCCACTTTCACGGGCTTCGCCGACAGCCGGGTCGACCTCCGCTTGGGCTCCTCCTTGGCCGCCCCCTCGGCGGAGCTGACCTTCCTCTTGGGCATCGTGGCGGCGGGGCGGGCGCGTGCCGGGTGCCTGCGGGCCGCCGCGCGCCAGCCGCCGCGCGCCGAGAGCCTTCGCGAGCTGCGCTGCCTCCAAAATTTATATTTTAAAAGCTTTGTGATGTGATGAGAAGATCACCAGACTGGGTATCTGAAAACCTAAACTTTAGTCTGGCTCTGCCACTACTGCTTTATGTGTTCACAGGCATGTTTCTGCCCTTCTTAGAAATTCAGTTCTCATATAAAATGTAATAATATCTACCTCATAGGTTTGTTGTGAGGATTTATTCTGCAAGTCCTTTTTCCAGAATGCCAGACAGTGTGTTTGGTGCTGGGGATGCAGACATGGATAAGATAGACCTGGTTACTCTTTCATGGAACTTAATAACACATTAATGAATTTGTGTAGTATATTGTGGTAGGTAGGTATACAGATGTTTAGGTGGTATATTTGAGAAATACAAAGGTTGATTACATTATCTGTCCTTGAAAACATTTCCTAAAATTCCTTTCTACCAACTATTAGCAGCTCCTTAGGATTTGTTTCCTCATTTTTGTTGTTTGCTTAGAAATGTAACTTTTGTTGGATCTCACTCCAGCTTGAATATTGCCTTTGGAATAAGATCCAGATTTCTTTTCTTTTTTTTTTTTAAAGATTTATTTATTTATGCATATAAGAGCTGGGGTATAGGCCAAAGGTGTGGGTGGTGAGAGGATTCACCAGAGACAGAATGGGGAACAGAACAGGCAGATTGACTGCAATACACTGCTGAGAGGAGAGCAACGGGCGAGTCAGGAGAGGTCTGCTGCACCATGTGGGTCACCTCCCTGGCCGGGAATTAAACTTGTGCAGCAGTGGCTGCAGACAGCTTCATAGGTTGCATCTTAACCCCTTGCACCACCAGGGAGGCTCAAGATCCAGATTTCTTAACGAGACATTCAAAGCCTTTTCAGGATCTAACCCAAATCAATTTTTCCCTTCTACCGTACTCTGCTTCCAGAGTATTCTGTGCCAGGAACAAATGGGGCAGCTTCATACTCTGCAGCCATGCCTAGGGCCTTGCCTTCACACTCTCACTCTTATTCCTTCCTCCTTGGATGTTTCCTCTGAATCCTCAGTGTCAGAATCATTACTTCTTGCTATGAATCAATGTTAATATCAGAGCTAGGGTTAGAATTCTGGCCTCCTATTGTTTATCTCTGTAATTTAGGGTTTAGAAATGGGGGGGTGGTAATCATGTGTGGTCAAGGTGTGTAGAAATAGGGATGAGAGTGTGCTTACTGATGTTACCTGCCAGCTTTTGCATTTGATGATTCTCCTCTCCTTATCTATCTCATGTGACGTAGGTTTCTAGCCCTGTGTGCATATGACATCTCTTCCCTATTAGAAGGTGAGCTCCTGAAGACAAGGGCAATGCTATATCTTAATTCATCACTAAATACCTTCCCCTGGACTACTGCCTACTGCCTTACTCATGACTAATAAATGTTTGAAATGAGCCAGTTAATAAATTAGGTTGTAAATGTAGAAGATAAAGCTCTCACCCTAGAGTTCATGCTTCAGCTCTGTCCCATTTTAGGATACAAATAATCAATAGTTGGTGCTATTTTGATTTGTTTAAAACTGTTAGGAAGTTGTGCTAATAAATTTTGAGTTGTTCCTAGAGGGGTTGCAGGACTCTGGTGATGTAAACCTAGAATTGTGACCTCATTGTACATATGAGCAGGAAGTAGGGAAAGCATGAATGGGAAGCTGTGACTGGGCAAGAAGTTTCTGGGTGCAGTAGAAATGTAGGTAGATTTAGGGTTAGGTAGTAGCTCTCGGGAACATATCCCTGCCCATAAGATCCTGAAGGTCCCTCCATTTTGACTATCAAAGGGACATTAGAACTTGTTCCCGACTCAGTGTCAGCCAGCAAGAAGTGCCTGGGGGGCTATACCCATCAGGAACCCACAGTCCAGCAGAACAGTAGTGGAGCCAAGTGACCTAGGTCTACTGTGGACCACCTGACAGTTGCCTGCCTATCTGCCTTCCTCTTCACCTCCTTCTCACTCACTGACATCTACCATTGCCTTGGAAATCAAGAAACCCAATCCATCTAGATGGTAAACCATGACTAAGGAATAAATATTTGTTTATTGCTAATTTGTATGTGTGGAACTTAGAATTAGTAAAGTCTAGGTCTAGGGGTAACCTTGGTTGTAGAGATACAGTTAGACTAAACAAACTGTTGTTCCACTGAAGCTTTTACTTGTTCCTTGCAGATTGATTTTGATGATGTGGCTGCTGTAAATCCAGAACTTTTACAGCTTCTTCCCTTACACCCGAAGATCAGTCTGCCCTTGCAAGAGAATGTAACTGTCCAGGTAGGTGTCTGTCATCTGCCATAGCCAGTGTCCCAGAGGATTCACTTGACTTGTTGACTCTTTGCTGGTTTGTGTCCTGGAACTTCCTCGGACTTCAGCACAGCACATGGACCCAGGGTTGACCTTGAAAATTGATAAGAGCCTTATATTGTGTTGGTCTGTTTTGTTTTTCAGAAACAAAAACGCAGATCAGTCAACTCCAAAATTCCTGCTCCCAAGGAAGGTAAATGGCTTATTATCTCAGGATTGTTTCAGGAATGACCCTGGGGCTCAGGAAACTGTGAAGTTCATTGCTAAATGAACTCATTGCTCATTTAGCGGGATAAGACCTGCTCTTTCTTCCAAGCATCTTTCTCAGTGAGAGATCATCAGATATAGCTACAAAGATGGGGGAAAGAGAGGTGTTGGTCAAATGCTACAAAGTTTCTGTTATGCAAGATAAATAACTTGTGGAGATCTATATCACAAACGGGGCCTATGATTAACAATGCTATATGTTAAACTTGTTTTTTCTTTAAAGATTTATTTATTTATGCATACAAGAGCTGGGGTTTAGGCCAGAGGTGTGGGAGATGAGAGGATTCACCAGACACAGAGTGGGGAGCAGAATAGACAGACTGAATACACTGACTAGAGGAGCAGTGGGCGAGACAGGAGAGGTCTGCTGTGCCATGTGGGTTGGCTCCCTGGTTGGGGATCCAACTCGCTGCAGTGGCTCCTGATAGCTTGATAGCGCTGAGACTTTAACCCCTGTGCCACCAGGGAGGCCCTATTGTTAAACTTGTTAAAAATTTAGTGTGAGGGCCTCTCTGATGACATAAGGGCCTGCAAGAGAGATAGGAGTTACAGGGGTTTCGCTTCCTTTTTTTTTAATTTATACAATAGCTGGGGTACAGGCCAGAGGCGTGGGAGGGTGAGAGAATTCACCAGAGACAGAGTGGGGAGGAGAACAGGCAGATGGACCAAAAGCACTGCTGAGGGGAGCAGAGGGCGCAACAGGAGAGGTCTGCTGCACCATGTGGGAATGTCCCTAGCTGGCCGGGAATTGAACCCGCACTGCAGAGGCTGCAGACAGTTTCACAGCACTGTGCTCAAACTGCTGTGCTACCCAGGGAAGCCTAGGTTTCACTTCTTATTAATGTCTAAAAGGGTATTGTCAAAGGGTCAAAGGCCCTTTTATTTATTTATTTATTTATTTATTTATTCAAAGGCCCTTTTAATGGGGAAAAAAAAAATCTTAATAGAGGTGCATGCTTTTTTTTTTTTTTTTTTTTTTTTAAGATTTATTTATTTATCCGTATAAGAGCTGGGATGTAGGCCAGAGGTGTGAAGGGGGCATGAGAGAATTCACCAGAGGTAGAGTGGGGAGCAGAACAGGCAGATCTACTGAAATACACTGCTGAGGGGAGTAGTGGGTGAGACAGGAGAGGTCTGCTATGCCATGTGGGTTAGTTCCCTGGCCAGGGATCAAACTGATACTACAGTGGCTGCTGATAGCTTCATAGTGCTGAGACTTAACCCCTTGAGCCACCAGGGAGGCCTTTAGAGTTGCATGCTTTTCAAAAGTAGAAGTGAAATACATGATTTACATTTTTTTTTTTTAAAGATTTATTTATTTATGCATACAAGAGCTGGGGTATAGGCCAGAGCTGCGGGCGGTGAGAGGATTCACTAGAGACAGAGTGGGGAACAGAACAGGCAGACTGACTGAAATTGCTGAGGGGAGCAGCGGGCGAGACAGGAGAGGTCTGCTGAGCCATGTGGGTTTCTCTGTGGCCAGGTAGGGATCAAACTCATGCTGCAGAGGCGGTGGATTGCTTCATAGTGCGGTGCTTAACCCCTTGAGCCACCAGGAAGCCCCTGATTTACAAATTCTTGGGAAATAGAAAAATTATAATTATTTGTGCTCTTTATGAAAGATATGGATCATATTAGAGCCATCAGATCAGTCTAAACTTAGACAATTCAGAAATTTAGTACAAGTTGCTGATTGCAAATATGATACCATGTGCTTTATTTCCAAAGCTATGAGTTCTTTCATTTTATAGGTGATAAATTTTTTCTTATGAAGAAAACTGTATAGATGGGTAGAAATTGATATAAGAATTCAACTGTAACTCAAGTGTTTATCTCAGTTAAGCATACTTTTAGATTCCAGAAAATCATTGTAGCTGATCTCATGGGTCTCTGATGTGGCCCAGACCTGGATCTGTAAAGCATCCTGGAGCAGTGAAAAAAAGCCCAGACTTTGGAATCTCACAATCCTAGGTTCACATTCTGGCTCTGACACTTTCTAGTTGAGTAACATTGGGCAAGTTGCTTAATTTCTCTGAGACTTAATGTCAGCTGGGAATATTGATACTTATTTTCTGGTGTTGCTGTGAGGTATGGTAAAATTGAACAATGATACGTTAAGACCAGTATTGCTTTTTGCTTGAAAGGATTAGCTCTATCACCCAGAAATGATTTCATATTGGTTGTAGGTCCCTCCATTTACTTGAGAGAGATGCTTTTGTGGAAGTATCCTTGTCCTTACGAGCTCTCAGAGTGATAGAATGTGAGCAAATTAGTTTTGGGGTCACTGGTATTTGGTCCAATTTTTCCTTTCCCCGGGTGGAAAGATTAGGAAATAGATGGGCTCCTTTCCTGGTGGTTGGGACCCATTTCACTGTACAGAGTCTTGGAGGGTTGTCTCACCACCCTCCTGTTGCCCTGTTGGCCCTCCTGTTAATGCTGCATTATTTAGCTGTTGCTCTTGGTCCCTCAGGTTTTCGAGGCCGCTCCACTCGCATGTCCACAGTCCCAGAGGCTCGCACCACCACTCAGGAGAATGATATGGAGGTGGAGCCATCTGCACCGGTAAACTCCCGCAAGCACTTTTCAGTTTCCGGTGAGTAATTAATCTACTTTCTCTCTGTTTGAGGACTTGGTGCAACCTCTCATGCACTGCCCTCTTCCTGTTCTGGAACAAACATCTGAGGATTCCTACACCCCCTTGGCTTCAGTACTGCCTCTGCCCCACCAACACTGCCCCCTTATCTGGAAATCATCTCATTTTACTTTTTTAATTATTGAAACATATGGAGAAGTGCACATATCATTGACTATAGCTCACTAACTGAACACACTCATGTAACACCTCATCAAACAGCATTCCCAACACCCCGAGGAGTCCTCAAGTTCCTAACCCCTATAGATACCTATACTCCTGATTTCTAATAGCATAGATTAGCTTTTTCTCTTACTGGACTTTATAAAAATAGGATTTGAAAAATACACTTAAGAAATTAAGTTAGGGGGCCTCCCTGGTGGCGCAGTGGTTGAGCGCTGGGTTGTGAAGCTGCCCGCAGCCTCTGCAGCGCCAGTTCGATCCCCGGCTGCTCCCCGGCCACCGGAGGAGGGTCCCGCATGGCGCGCAGACCCCTCCTGCCGCCCGCTGCTCCCCTCAGCAGTGTACTTCAGTCCTTCTGCCTGCTCTGCTCCCCGCTCTGGCTCTGGTGAATTCTCTCACTCTCTTGCGCTTCTGACTGTACCCAGTGCTTGTATAAACAAATAAATCTTTAAAAAAAAAATTTAAGTTGTCAACTTTTTTTTTTTTTTAAGATTTATTTATTTATACAAGCACTGGGTACAGTCAAAAGCGCGGGTGGGTGAGAGAATTCACCAGAGCCAGAGTGGGGAACAGAACAGGCAGACTGACAAAATATACTGCTGAGGGGAGCAGCGGGTGCGGCAGGAGAGGTCTGTTGCTCCATGTGGAACCCTCGCCGGCGGCCAGGGATCGAACCGGTGCTGCAGAGGCTGTGGGCAGCTTCGCAGCCCAGTGCTCAACCGCTGCGCCACCAGGGGAGGCCCGATTGTCAACTTTTTAGATTTACAAAGTAGGTGCAGATTTGGAAGGTATACAATCATCACATGAATCACATAAGCTCTGATAAAATGAAAGTAAACAAGAATGATATCAGGTACGGAAAATAGTGAGGTGTCATGGGTGATACCTTTCTGGGTTAAATCAATATTGTTCATTTTTGCTCAGGTTCCCATTATCCCTGGCTTTTTAGTATTTGCAAGACCTTGGAGAAGTCAGAAAGGCCTGAACTTTCTCCCAAATGAGTAGAAGGGCCTGGCCAGCTTGAGTACCCAGGGTCAAACCTAAAAACAGTCCAGCTCTTTAAAGGCTCTTCTAACCCAACCAGTTAACTCAGATGGTTTGAGCATGCTGCTGATAGAGGCTTTTCATGATGAAGCCCGTGCTGAACTACTCACATACCCTTTAATAAAGATACTTCATCTCCAGGAGCCAGCTCCTATACAGAAACTGGTTGGGCTTTGGGTGTGAGCTGGGGTGAAGGCAAAAGTCCAAACGCTGCTCATACTGATGGAGCCCGAGTTCTTGCTGAGCTGGCAGTCACCCTCCTGGCCTACAACCTTCTAGGACTCAGATGAGCACAACTGTGGTTGACCTGTCTGCTTCTCCAATGACTCTTGTTCCCCCACAGCCGGCCCCCCTAGGATTTCCTGCCCTACATCGGCTGAGATACCACTGACGATGGTCAGCGAGGAGGTGGAAGAGCAAGGCCATTCCATCCGAGGAACCACTTCTGCAAACCCTGTGAACTCAGGTAGACACACTGAGCTGTCTGCTGCCCTGCTGCTAGTGCAGGACAGGTAGTTACATCCTATTCCAAGCCCAGCCTGCTTTGCCACCTGAATTCAAACTATATTTGCCCCATGGGGCATGTTGTCCTGTGGCCATGGACTCAGTCTTTCACAAAAGATGACCCCGTACCATCAAGCTGGCAAGAGCCCTCTGATGTAGTTGAGGTGCTGTCAAAACTAAAGTTTTGGCTAACACCTGATGAATAGCCCACAATGACCATCAAACAAGCAGGGAGGGTCTCACCTCTCCAGGTTGTTGAGAAATTGCCACAGGCAGAGAGCGAGCTTGGGTTAGATCTGGAGTGCTCACATTAACAAGTCTTTGCTTTGTGGGCTTGGCCATCCCGAACCCCAACTATTGCTTCCTCTCCTTGCATATAGTGATTTACTAATAAGAGTCTAGAGAAGGCCTAGTCCTGGGAAACTCTAGTATGGACTCAATAACACAGCTGGAGAACAAGCTGCCTAGACAGTTAAGAAAGTGGGCTTCCATTTTTCCCTCTAGTTCGGAGGAAATCATGTATTGTGAAGGAAATGGAAAAAATGAAGAACAAGAGAGAAGAGAAGAGGGCCCAAAACTCTGAAATGAGAATAAAACGAGCTCAGGTACCTTTCTGAAGAGCTAGGGCAGGTTCTTGGACAGGTATCCTTAATTGCACCTTTCTAATATCAGAGAGATGGTTGGAAGTTACTAATTTCTCCAGTGCTGAAATCCAGAAGGTTTAACTGGTTTCTCACCAATTTAGATATTTTTCTGAAGGCCTCTGATGAGGAATATTTCATGCGGATTACTCATTGGGCATGCCATCACAGTGCAAAGGCCAGCTGTACTCCTGGGCAAAGTTAGCTGCCTTCCCCCACCTCCTACTATCATGGGGCCTACAATGAAGTTCTAGTTTATACCATTAGTTGGGTTATTGCTCGGGGAATCCCAGCCTTCTGGTCGGGTGGGGCGGGGGGGTGTAGGGGAGAAGGGGAACACATGGCTTTCACCCCAGTTCCTCGGGTGGTTGGGTATATGCCTTGGCTGCCCTGTCAATCTCTGTTCCCACAGCTTTGTTTCTGGGTTCTCAGCCTGGAGTCGGGGTAGAAAGAAGTGCGATCACATGGGGACTTTGTCAACCCTGATGGGACATGTGCATGTAAAGAGCTGCTGCTGCTTAGCTCTGAGGGTACATACATCTTGGTAGGCAGTCCTCGTTTGCACTTGTCCCAAACAGGAGTATGACAGCAGCTTTCCCAACTGGGAATTTGCCCGGATGATTAAAGAATTTCGGACTACCTTGGAATGTCATCCACTTACTGTGACTGATCCTGTAAGTAAACCCAAAGGACTTCTACCTCTCCTTTCTGAGTAGGTGCACAACTGAGAGGCAGAAAACTTGTCTTTATAGGAGTCAGAGCATGTAGGAATCGCCATTTACCCGTAAGAGTTTATTAACCATTTGGTATGTTGGAGTTAGTGAGGCCTGGATTGGAGAGTTTGTTTTGTTTTTTTTTTTTAGTATAAGATTTATTTATGCATACAAGAACTGGGGTACAGGCCAGAGGTGTTGGTGGTGAGAGGATTTGCCAGAGTGGAGAACAGAACAGGTGGATTGACTGAAATACACTGCTGAGGGGAGCAGCAGGAGAAACAGGAGAGGTCTGCTGTGCCATGTGGGTAGCTCCCTGGCCGGGGATCGAACTTGTGCTGCAGTGGCTGCAGACAGCTTCTTAACTCCTTGCGCCACCAGGGAGGACCCAGAGTTTGCTCTTTATAAATTCCCCTTAACACATACCCGCTTCTGTTGGTAGTGCTGAAACCTCCTGTAGGCAGCAGAGAAAACGGGGAAGAAAATTTAGGGCTACTTTCCTAGTGCTCTAGAGTAACTAGTAGGAGAGGCAGAGTCCTAGTATTTGATCTTGGCCTTGTCTAGGCCAGCCTATGGAACTGGAAGGGGAGGGGTTCTGGACAAACTTACTTGGTCTCACCCTTTGCTGGTTGTTGTTTTCTCTTGAAGATTGAAGAGCATAGGATATGCGTCTGTGTTAGAAAACGTCCACTGAATAAACAAGGTAAACCCTGTTCAGCCAGAAAGAGGCTTTGGACTGAGTGGGGGTTCCCCTGTGTCCAGGAAGGATTCCCTGAAATACTCTTCTTCTGCAGAGTTGGCCAAGAAAGAAATTGATGTGATTTCCATTCCTAGCAAGTGTCTCCTCTTGGTACATGAGCCCAAATTAAAAGTGGACTTAACAAAGTATCTGGAAAACCAAGCATTCTGTTTTGATTTTGCATTTGATGAAACAGCTTCAAATGAAGTTGTCTACAGGTTAGTCCTTCAGCTGTTTGTTTCTCCTCCTTTCCTCTGCTTTCCTCTTTTTTAAAGATTTATTTATTTATGCATATAAGAGCTGGGGTGTAGGCCAGAGGTACGGCGGTTGAGAGGATTCACCAAAGACAGAGTGGGGAGCAGAACAGGCAGGTGTACTGAAATACATAAGGGGAGCAGGAGGCAAGAAAGGAGTGGTCTGCTGCGCCATGTGGGTCACCTCTCTGGCCGGGGATCAGATTCACACAGTAGCGGTAATAGCACTGAGACTTAACCCCTAGGGCACCAGGGAGGCCTTGTGTGTATATCTGTGATCCACAAAGCCTAAAATGTTTTAGGCCCCAACTCTGGAGGGTTTCCCCTGGGCTTTGTAGGCTATCTTATACTGAAAGTCAGCTGCTAAGCTCATGCTTTCTTTCATCTTGTGTCTTCAGGGTTCAAGAGGAGCTGGTGGCTCAGAGTGTGGGCTGTCAGCCGATTCCTATTCCTATCCCAACCCAAATCCAGCCCTCCCCATTTGGATAGGAGAATTAGATTTTGTAAGTGGGGCTGGAGTTAAGGGGACCACTTAGAAGCATTCTAGTGTTTTGTGCTTGGAAGGAGCACCCCGGAGTTCTGCAGCAAAGGGCAGTGGGCCCATGTTCTAGGGAGCACTTTTTGGAGAGAGAGGTATACTCTTCTCTATCCTGTCTCCTAGGTTCACAGCAAGGCCACTGGTACAGACAATTTTTGAAGGGGGAAAAGCAACCTGTTTTGCATATGGCCAGACCGGAAGTGGCAAGACACATGTGAGTATTCAGGCCTGCCAGGGAGGGATCCTGACTGAAGTATAACACTGTGTCGGTCCCTTAAAGATGGATAATGAGTTTCTTGTAGAAGGTCTGCTCACTGCCCATCACCAGATACAGTTGCTGTGTCAGGTATAGATAGGGGCCTTACCCTTCCAGATTTTGGCATGGCACACGGGACAGTGACGCCAACTGTGCTCTGGCCTGCACCAAGGGCCCCTTACCACAGTCTTCTGTGCCTTCCCTTTGCAGACTATGGGTGGTGACCTCTCTGGGAAAGCCCTGAATTCATCCAAGGGGATCTACGCGATGGCGTGTGAGTAGTATGTTCTGCTGCAGTGGGTTGGGCACACAAAGGCAGGTAGTTTACTTAATCCAGGTTCTCTCCCACAGCTCGGGATGTCTTCCTCCTGAAGAACCAGCCCCGCTACCGGAACCTAGGCCTGGAAGTCTATGTGACATTCTTTGAGATCTATAATGGGAAGGTAGTAGGCAGGAAGCCCCTTATTTATGGTTTTGATGCCCCTGGACTTTTTCTTTTCTTTTCTTTTCTTTTTTTAAGATTTATTTATTTATACAAGCACTGGGTACAGTCAGAAGCGTGGGAGGGTGAGAGAATTCACCAGATCCAGAACTTTCTAAAATCTTGACGTTGGCTAGCTATTATAGCCTGGGCCCCCTTGGGCTGTTAAGCCTGTGGTGTGGGAGAGACTTCATCTGCTGGTGGGATGATACCACAGCTCAACTGATGTGGCCAGAGTGGTCCTCAGGGGTCCCTCTCAGATGGAAGGTTTGTCTTATGTGTTCCTTCCATGAAGGAAGTTCGTTCTTTCCCCAGTGGTACACATTCACCCCCATATATTCTCTTTTCAGATAGGTAGATTGATCAATCAATCGATCAGAGAATGTTACTGCCATTTATGTGGAAAATTTTTTGAGCATTCCCAGATCCAGAAAAGAAGCTACTGAATTATACTAAGTAGGAACGCTGTACCTTTGAATAGTAGGAGAACCTGTTACTAGCTCAGGCTCCACAGCTAATAAAAGACCAGAGTTACAGCAATCTGAGCAGCCAGGTTCATATCTCAAGTGTGCCGCTGATTACTAGTCTGACATCTATTTGGCTTAACTTCTGCCGTCCTTGCTGCCAGCGTTTGTCTAAGTTGGGACAGGCTCAGAAAGGGGAAGTCAAGTGGGGTTCCCAGTGCCTGATAGCCTTGGCCTTGTTCCCTTGCCTGGCATAGCTGTTCGACTTGCTTAATAAGAAGGCCAAGCTGCGTGTGCTGGAGGATGGCAAGCAGCAGGTGCAGGTGGTGGGGCTGCAGGAGCACCTGGTTAACTGTGCTGATGATGTCATCAAGATGATCGACATGGGCAGTGCCTGCAGGTCAGTGTTCTGGAGAGGGGAAGGGACCATCTTTTAATGCTCAGTTTGGGTGACTGAGACTAGCCCTGAGCCCACTGCTGTTTCCATGGAGCACTGCTTCCCCAGTGATGACTATGAAAGCCTCTGCCTCAAGGGGTCTCAGTTCAGGGAATGACCGTGGGCCAATGGCTCATCAGGAGATCTTGAGTTATTTTAAATCTAAGTCCGGCTATTCCCATGCTCGCTCTTCAGAGAAAATAAGATCTTCTTGCTTCTCTGGGTTTCTTTTTGTTATTGCCTCCCTCCTGCTGTGTTTGGAAACAGGAACTCTGGGTCTGTTCTTGGCTGGAAGTAATGGCGCCATGGTTCCTGTATAGACTAGGGAGGTGCTCTTCCACCCACAGAGGACAGAAGTCTGAGATGGGAAGACCCAGAACTTCATCGAGTCCTGACCTGTGTCCCTCTCTTACCAGAGAATTCACTGCTGTGGACTGGGGTGCCTTGGACTCTGGAGATACTATAGCTGATCACCCTAGAAGCTCATAACTTGATTTTGCCCTTCTTTATGCCTTAGGACCTCTGGGCAGACATTTGCAAATTCCAACTCTTCGCGCTCCCACGCCTGCTTCCAGATTCTTCTTCGAGCCAAAGGGAGAGTGCATGGCAAGTTCTCTTTGGTGGATTTGGCAGGGAATGAACGAGGAGCAGACACTTCTAGTGCTGACCGGCAGACTCGCATGGAGGGTGCAGAAATCAACAAAAGCCTCCTCGCCCTGAAGGTAGCAGCTAGCTAGAGGCACCTGGCCTGGAAGGCTGCTGGTGGAGGGAGTGGGCAGTGTAAGGGAGGAAGGGACTTGAGTTACCCCTGCTGTCCCACAGGAGTGCATCAGGGCCCTGGGACAGAACAAGGCCCACACCCCATTCCGAGAGAGCAAGCTGACACAGGTGCTGCGGGACTCCTTTATTGGGGAGAACTCAAGGACCTGCATGGTGAGTAGGGTTGCTTTGCAGGTAGAGCAGAGGGAGACGTTTAGTCCCATCCCTGGGCAAGGGACTTGGTGGTGCCCCTGGTTGTCTGGGTTTCTAGGTTCTGACTTCACTGGGCTTCTCTGCCAAGGGGGGAGGACTGTATGTTCATGCAGCTCTTGGTTTGGGGAGGTTATTCCTCCCTTGTCTGGTAGAAAGGGGGCTCCAGATTTCAGAAGGTTGACCTCTGGAGAAGCAAGAGAGGAAAATTATTGCCCCTTCTGTAGCTTCCCTCAGGTCACTGGCTCACAGCCTAAAACTTACATTGGAACCCAGGGCTGTGGCCTTGAATTACTTTTTTGGTTCCCTTCTTTATCCATAAGCCCTTCTAGCTAGGGTTTCACCTTCCTCCATTCCAGGGATTATCTTCTCTTCTGCCTATGGGGAAGATGGAAATTTCTGAATAAGCGCTAAACCCTTCACCCTAAGGGATTATCCCTAAGCCTGGGTGACCTGAAGGTTCTAGGATTAGCCACAGAGGTTGTAGATGTGACCTTGATAAGTGGTCAGCAAAGAGCTATAAAGAAGCAGGAGGTTAGGTATTTACCCAAAGGACACAGAAACATCAATTCCAAAGAACACCTGCACCCCTATGTTTATAGCAGCACTGTTTACAATAGCTAAGTTTTGGAAACAACCCAAATGCCCAAAAATAGATGACTGGATCAAGAAGATGTGGTACATATATACCATGGAATATTACTCAGCATTCAAAAAAGATAAACACATGCAATTTGCAGCAACATGGATGGCGCTGGAAGGGATCATGCTCAGCGAAATAAGCCAAAAAGAAAAAGAAAAATACCGGATGGTCTCACTCATAGCAGGAATCTAGAAAACTTAAATAAGGGAACAGGAAAACGAATAACTATAAGAAAGTGAAAATCAAAATCAACAAAAAACTATGAACCAGAGACACTTTTAGGGGCGGGGTGGGAGGGAGGGATTGGGGTCAGAATGGGGGGCTGCAATTGTATGGGATTATAAAAATAAAATTTATTAAAAAAAAAAAAAAAAAGAAGCAGGAGGTAATCAGATATGGCTTTAAATGCAGGAAACCAATTTTTAAGGCACTTGAATTGCAGTGTTTCTGAGGCAAGTTGCCCAGAGAGAGTGGGCACTTAATGGGCCCTCCCTGCCAATACCATGTTGGGTATCAGTGGCTCGAAGAGACCCTTCCATCAGCCTCTCTAAGGAGCAGTCAGTCTAGTGCCCTTACCCTGAATCTTTAACTGCTCATTCCCTCTTTCACAGATCGCCATGATCTCACCGGGCATAAGTTCCTGTGAATATACGTTAAACACACTGAGATATGCAGACAGGTACGGTACCTACAGTCAGGTGGGATGGGGAGAGGGGTGCAGGAGGCAGGAAATGAGAGGCAATGGTGAGTGGCTAGGAGGCTTATGGCCTTACTGTTTATGCAAAGGAGACTGCTCTGGGATCTGAGACCTGCTTGTTTTCTTAGGGTCAAGGAGCTGAGCCCCCACAGTGGGTCCGTTGGGGAGCAGCCAACTCAAATGGAAACAGAAGAGATGGAAGCCAGCTCTAATGGGTCCCTGATCACAGGCAATGTAAGGGGGCAGGCGATGGGGGCAAAACAGAAATGTGACCTGCTGAGATGGGAACTGGGCCATCCTGTCGTGTCTCTCCCTTTGGTCCCCTTAGTTCTCCAAAGAAGAAGAGGAACTGTCTTCCCAAATGTCCAGCTTTAATGAAGCCATGACTCAGATCAGGGAGCTGGAGGACAGGGCCATGGAGGAACTCAAGGAGATTATACAGGTGAGGAGCGGCCCTGGCAGAACAGGCGCTGGTTATGCTCACCAGGATCATCAGGTTGGGATGACCAGAGGCAACCTGTACTTACACTAGCATTCCTTAATTCTCCACCTCTCCAGCTAGCCATTCTTCTAGAACAGCTAAAGAACATACCCCCTTCTCTAACCTGGCTCACACAGACTTTCCTCCATCCTCCTGGCTGAAGCCAGGCTCTCCAACATACCCGGCTGGGAGGGTAATTTATTCACAGAAACACACTCTTGCTTGTTCAGTGAACGTTCACCAGATGCTTTCTATAGGTCAGATCCAAAAACACGAAGTATGGATAGTAAACCTTAAAGTGTGAGCCTGGTTTGGGTATGTGAAAGAACACAAATTGAGACAGGACTTTAGAGATTGTTGGAAAGAGTTTGTGAGCCATGTTGGTCATCACTGAGTGTGACCGTGGCCATGGGGTTGCACTGGGAATGAGGCTGAAGCACCACTTACGGGGTGGACAAGCAGGGTGAATGAACAAGGCTGTTGCTCAGATTTCTGGCTTAGGCCTCAAGACAGATGATGACATTCATTTGACATAGGGACAGGGGCAGGTTTTGGGTAGAAAGAACAATTCAAGCTGAGGAATACTGCCCAGAGGGTTAGGGGGCAGGGTGTGCCCATGACTGGTGGAATGGGTGTCTTGCACAAGCATCTGCACTGCAGATGGCAGAGTTCCTGGAATGACTTGCTAAATTGATTGGGTCACTATTGAGCTGACAAGGTGCTCCCTGTGTTGCAGCAAGGACCAGACTGGCTCGAGCTCTCTGAGATGACTGAGCAGCCAGACTATGACCTGGAGACCTTTGTGAACAAAGCAGAGTTTGCCCTGGCCCAGCAGGCCAAGCACTTCTCAGCTCTGCAAGGTGGGTGCAGCCGAAGGGCCCAGCCTCTGTGGGTGGTGGCAGCTCTGCCTTGAGGGAATGGGGCTTCTGAGGTGCTCACTAGCGCCTTGTACACCACCCCCTCTTCCTTTCAGATGTAATCAAGGCCTTGCGCCTGGCCATGCAGCTGGAAGAGCAGGCCAGCAAACAAATAAGCAGCAAGAAACGGCACCAGTGACAACTACAAATAAAGATCTGTTTGGCTTCACACCTAGCCTCTACCCCTTCCCACCTCCCCAGCGAACTTTGGGTAGGGGTGGTCTGGTCAGGGTCCAAGCAGGGAGCGTCTGAGCCCAGGGCACCTGGGGAGGGCATCAGAGTGACAGGGGATACTACTTTTCTTCAGTTGTGCCCTCGGGCGGAAGGATGATGAGGGAGTTGTTAGTTATCCTGTGTTACCCTTCTCTCCAAGAGGGAAGAGTCTCTGGTGTATCTGGTGTAGTTTTCCCTGGTGCAGCATTCTGCCTGCACAGACTGGCTGCTGATGGCAGGAACCATGGGGTTGTCTTGGCTCTGGGGAGAGAGGAGCCTCTAGTTCAACTCTCTGTGGGCTCTGTCTTGCCTACCGCACCCTTGACCTTGGAACTAAAATGTCTTGTACTTTTAAAAAAGTCTCTGGGACCTCTTCCTTGCTATTTTCTGAAGCCCAAGAGGATCCCTGCTGTTTTGTGTTTACACATTATGTCTAAGAATAAAGTAAGTAAAAAAAAACAACCTTTTGAGTGGTGTGTGGGAAGGTCTGCATGTATCAGCCTTTGGGACAAAGGACACTACTGCAGCTCTGGAGAGTGCTGATGGTTCTGCACTCTCCCTGGGAGGCCACATCCACACCTGCAGTCTTGGTGATGTGCTGAAGACGCCAACCTCTGCCATGTCTAATGCTGACCAGGTCCCAGGTCCTCTCCTGGGGACAGGAGCTATAGGCAGAAAGGACATGGTGCTGTGTCCATTAGCCTGCTCAAAGCATGTTAAAAGATTCTGTGGAAACACAAGAGAACACTCACTAGACAGCAAAAAATCTGATGAGCAGTACCAGCTCGATCCTGAAAAATGAATAGAGGTTTGCCAGGTCAACTGACGGACCGTGCCTAGGACTTGGACAGTTTGGGAACCAGAGGACTCCAGATTTCATGTTACGGAGCATGAATTGTCTGAATGGTGATATCACTAGATGGATAGCCTAGGAATCACAAAATCAAATGTGTGTGTTAGAGGCCTTAGAGACAGTGGGGAGTGTGGTGCACATGAGTCCCTGTAGAAATTCAAGAAAGACGGGGTCTACAGACCAGGTTCTTTCATCCTCACTTCATTTGTTAAAAAAAAATCTTTCGGGGGCCTCCCCGGTGGCGCAGCAGTTGAGCGCTGGGTTGCGAAGCTGCCTGCAGCGTCTGCGGCGCCAGTTCGATCCCCCAGCTGCTCCCCGGCCACCGGAGGAGGGTCCCACATGGCGCGCAGACCTCTCGTGCCTCCCGCTGCTCTCCTCAGCAGTGTACTTTGGTCCTTCTGCCTGCTCTGCTCCCCGCTCTGGCTCTGGTGAATTCTCTCACCCTCCCGTGCTTCTGACTGTACCCAGTGCATGTATAAACAAAAACAAACAAACAAACAAATAAATAAGCATGCCTCTATTAAAAAAAATAATAAAAATTAAAAAAAAAAAATCTTTCGGGGGCCTCCCAGGTGGCGCAGCGGTTGAGCGCTGGGTTGCGAATCTGCCTGCAGCCTCTGCGGCGCCAGTTCCATCCCCGGCTGCTCCCCGGCTGCTCCCCGGCCACCAGAGAAGGGTTCCACGTGGCGCGCAGACCTCTCCTGCCGCCCGCTGCTCCCCTCAGCAGTGTACTTAGGTCCTTCTGCCTGCTCTGCTACCCCCTCTGGCTCTGGTGAATTCTGTCACCCTCCCGCGCTTCTGACTGTACCCAGTGCTTGTGTAAATAAATAAATCTTCAAATCCTTAAAAAAAAAAAAAAACACCTAACTGGGGAGTAAAAAAAAAAATCTTTCGGGCCTCCCCTGGTGGTGCAGCGGTTGAGCGCTGGACTATGAGGCTGCCCACAGCCTTTGCAGCGCCGGTTTGATCCCCGGCCACCAGCGAGGGTCCCACATGGCGCGACAGACCTCTCCTGCTGCACCCGCTGCTCCCCTCAGCAGTGTATTTCGTCAGTCTGCCTGTTCTGCTCTCCGCTCTGGCTCTGGTGAATTCTCTCACCCACCCGCGCTTCTGACTGTACCCAGTGCTTGTATAAATAAATAAATCTTTAAAAAAAAATCTTTTGGGCCTCCCCTGGTGGCGCAGAGGTTGAGCGCTGGGCTGCGATGCTGCCCGCAGCCTCTGCAGCGCCAGTTCGATCCCTGGCTGCTGGCGAGGGTCCCATAAAAAAATAAAAAAAAAAAAAATCTTTCATTGCAAAGATTGTTCATAACAGTAATTGTCTAGTGGCACTAGTCTGCAGAACTACATGACCACACAGCAGCATTCTGTAACCCGGGAGTCAGGCACATGTAGGTGGATTAATCTCAGGTTTAAGGACTACAGGAAAAGGAGCTGGTGAAAAGTTAATGCGGATATAACAATTAAAAAAAAAAACAGGCATCTATAAATCAGACATTGTACAGGGAAGGGGAAGGGAGACGGATCAAAACGAGGGTGGCAAGAGCACAAGGGACTATGGTGATGGTGCATGGGTGAATTGGTGGTGGGAATTCTATGGGACTACACCTGAGAAAAGAAAGCAAACAGTACCAAAAAATGAACAATGATATAAAATATATATAAGTAAATTGGGCCTCCCCAGTGGCACAGTGGTTGAGCGCTGGGTTGCGAAGCTGCCCGCGGCCTCTGCGGCACCGGTTCGATCCCCGGCTGCTCCCCGGCCACCCGAGGAGGGTCCCACATGGCGCGCAGACCTCTCCTGCGCCCGCTGCTCCCCCTCAGCAGTGTACTTCGGCCCTTCTGCCTGCTCTGC